GGACATTAATATGTATCAAAAAATGTAATAATAATTTGGGGTGATTTTTTTAAAAAAACCATGGGCTGTAGCCTTGGGTAACTTTCAGAATTTTGAAATGGCTGCAACTAAAATAAGAATGACAATACTAATAGTAACTTACCTAATACTCCAATGTCTAGTGTATCTGTCAGTAATGCTTTCTCTATTTCATTATAAACTGACTGCCCCAGGAAGAAGTCAGCATGTATACCATAAGCCTGTACTGAATACTGAGACTCTAAAGATAATAAGAAAAGATAATATAATAATGATTATACATACCGTATAGCGGGTAATTTTGGAGAGAATTAAATTTGGCAAATTTGGCATTTTGATAGCCATTCGCCAAAATAAAATCCGCCATTTTGAGCCTTTATACGCATGCTCAATGGCACGTGGCCACTAATTCGCCAAATTAAAATCTGCCAATAACCAAAATTTAGCAATTCGCCAAATTTTACTCCCTCCAAAATTTCCCACTATACGGTATAATGGAACTAAGTATAATACGTACAAATATACATGTAGTTTAGGTAAGTGCTAGCAGAATAAGTTATTATGTATCTAGGACTAGGCTGATAAATGGCCTAGTACTTGCTCTAAAATTAGGCCAAAGTCCCTGTACTATAGTACAGGGTTACGTGACAAATTTTACCAAAATTGAAAGAAATTTCACCATTTTTATAAAGTTTCCTTATGTATATACATGCTCCTATGAGCTGATTTCAATCAAATCTAGATTTTTTTCAAATTTTAAAAGTTGCCCCAAAATCAAGTCAAAGTCCCTGTACATGGTATTTAGTAAAATTTCGTCAAAATGACAAGAAGATTTCATTACACTTCCTGATGCTGCATACACATGTACTCATGTTGCATAGTACCCAATACTACTATAGACCTCTCGAGCTGTGAATGACTAGGTATATGAATATCATTATTTTGAGATACAGCATCCACTTACGCGCAATAATTGGCCGCCATTTTGGATGGCAAGATTCAATGAAGAAGGAATGGAGTAAAGTACAAAAATGATTTGTTTGGCAGGTCTGGAACTCTTTCAAGCTACAAAAGTTGGTTGGAAGAAAGAATGGGTGCTACCAAGCATCTCATAAAACAGATTTGGTGCAATGTGCAGCAAATTCTTTACTATAGCTTGCTTTCTGCTTTTGCTCATTGGTTCACCATAGAAAGTTGCCGTCCATGGAATTTATTTCCTTCTCTACCACACCCACTGCCGTATTTACTCTAGTGACGTAATTCATTCTCAGCTCAAGAGGTCTATAGTACTGTACTACTCACGTATTTCTGATGCCATGTCCAGTAGGTTATCATAAGAGCGACTGATCAACACAACATCAAACCCACAAGCTGCAAGCTAAAAATAAACAAAAAAAAAAATATTAATAAATCCAATAAATACCTCCTTTGCAAATGCAGTCCCCAATGAAGAGGTAGCCCCTGTAATTACAGCCCATCTACCATATTTATCAGTTAGTGAGAGTGGTCTGAGTTTAGGATAGAAGTAAGTGTAGACTCCTGGTATTAAAGAGTAGAGTCCTTGAGCTATTTTAGTGACACCGACTGCAACGCCAGCATAGAACAACCAGTCCACTAGCCGCACCGTCCAAGGATCGAAGAGATTCTGTACAAGAAACTGAACAGAATCTACACTCATTTTTGTGTGGGCGTGGCTCATATAAGTGGGCGTGACAAAACTGCCTGATAGCGTCCGTATATTTTTAGTATTGTTCCGTATACTGTTACTATAGTTTCAAAATGGCGGATGACGAAGAAATACAACAACAGGTGACAACACTTTTCTCTGTATATTTATTGAGTTTTAATAGGAGGAGGACGAGGATCCAGTTTGTTATAAGTCGGTCCTCGAGGAGAAGTGTGGAGAGAAGGCCAGTTGTCGTAAACTGAAGGAGGTTCTAGAAGAGTGTAATGATAGAGTGAATGGCAAGTCAAATACGACAGAAACTTGTGTAGAGGAACTCTCAGATTTCATCGTTTGTGTAGATAAATGTGTAAGTTAACATCCGTTCTATATAATGACATCTTTGCTTGATAAATAATCTTACAATTTTTTCTATTTTTTGATTATCAGCTGTGGTGGGATTGCTCTAAGTTTTACTGTATAGTGCAAAATTTTCGAGGGCTATGAATTTCACAAATTTGCCTAAAAATCTATTTTGTGGATTTAATTTATGTGAATTTATGCCGTCTGCCATCTTGTACCATAATAATTTGATTTTCGCGGAAGTAATTTTTGTAAATTTTTAAAATTTATGAAATCTGCAAAATTAAAAGCTCTTGAAAATTTTGAGCAATACTGTAACTGGCCTCCTTTTTGTTAAATTTTTTGATGCAGGGGTTCTGGGATTATTTAATTACTTTGGGAGAGTTATTTTTTGATGTACATGTACATGTCCTAATATTCAAGCTATTATTGTACATTACGTTAATGTAAAGCTCTCTCTTGTTCTATATTTAGTATCGTTTTATTGTTCTATTTTTAGATTGCAAAGAACCTCTTCCAAAAGCTAAAGTGACCATGACTAGGTGTATCCTGTACTGTGTATTAGTGACAATAGATGATACATACATATTAATTAATTTATTATTATTATTATTAATATAATAATTAGGTGAAAACATTCTTGTTTATTTCAATAATAATAAACAGCGTATGCCACACCCACTGCAAACAAGGAGTCCTACGAGAAGAGAATAAAGAGAGAGAGAGTATGATTAATTAATTTTATGGATCCATTCCAAGTACATGTATTATTAATTAGATAATAACAATAATAATAAGTTAATCAGTGCATTTGTCACTCTGGCCACACACTCACATTGTAATGCTGCGTTTACACTACAGAAGTGGGCCAAACCGTGCTGAACCAGGCTGAGCTGGCCCTGCTGTACTAACCATGCTGGCCTGGCTTGGCCCATCTCAGTTTGGTTACTGTTTAGACTATCAAATGAAACTAAGCTGGCCCACTTTAAACAGGGCTGGCCCAGTTAAAGAAGCTAGTGTAAACACAGTATAAGAGTACAGGGTTCCATTCATTGCCATAATAACATTAATATGGTGGAGTTTTTATTTTGGTGATTGCAATTTGCAATATAAATCCCAGCCCAGTTATTGAAACTGTCAATCACTAATGGGCATGCTCAGTACTGCACATGTATCAAATGAACATCAGCTAGTGACAAATTTTACCGCAAAATTGCTAAAATAAAGTGCTATACAGTGAAACAGCTTTGTCAACTATACTACACTTAAAATGTATATTTATTATTGCAATAAAATTGATAATATGAAAAGAAGGACATGCATAATAGCATGCCCATCCAAAAATTTTTGTTTCATCCTCAGGGATATTCATATTTCATCCATCTTGGATTTTAAAG